ATATTCTCAGCCAAAGAGTAGCAGCTTTTGTTCTTGTTAATCAATTGGCCAGAAACAGATTCATAAATATTCAGAGTGTTAAGAATAAGCTGGAGGGATTACTTTTCGCCACCAGTAAAGAGGATAGTATCATCGGCAAAGGCAAAATGGTTGACTTGAGGACCTTATCTCTTCGTGTAGAAAAACCATGAAATTTCCTATTGTTCTGTACTGCATTGAGCATCTGGAAAGCAATTCAGCACTGAGGACAAAAAGGGTGGGAGAAAGAGAATCACCTTATCTAAGCCCTCTACTGAATTAAAGGAAACCATGCCTACTACCATTGACAATCAGAGAGTCCCAGTTATTAGAAATTAACCAGTAGATAAGATTAATCCATTCCTTAGCAAAGCACAAATGTCTTAACATGCATCATAGATATGACCGGGAAACTCTATCATATGTCTTGGCCATATCAAGTTTAATAACAATATTGCCACCTCCCATAGGCTTCTACCTTTCACAAAGCCACTTTGGTTATTACAGATAATTTTGGCAAGAGGGAACTAAGTCTAGCATTGTTTACCTTGGCAATGATTTTGCCAGTAATATTGCATAGACTAATTGGTATAATATCTGAGAAGTTTTGAGGGAATCAACTTTTGGAAGCATCACCAAACAAGTATGAGAGAAGAATATAGGTAATACAACCCCATGGAAGAAATCTACCACTGCTCTATGAACATCATTTCCAACCACCGACCAAGCCATTTGATAGAATTTTCCACTAAGATCATTAGGCCTTGGTGCACTGTTAGGATCAATAGAGAAGACACTATCTTTAACTTTTTGTGTAGAAGGAGTGGACAACAGGAAGTTGTTATCATCATCATTGATGACCATTTTAATAATATTCAGAGTTTGTAGATCCTCAGAAGTGTTGTCAGCGCTGAAAAGATTCTGAAAGAACCTTACTCCAGCATCAACTATCTCAGAAGTACCCTCCACCCAATTACCATTACCATATTTGATCTTCATGATGGACAACATTTTCCTTATACCTATAATGGCACCATGAAAGAAGGCAGTGTTCTCATCACTTTCAGTTAACCACTTAACTCTAGCTTTTTATCTAAGCACACTATCTTGTAATTTCAGGAGCATGGTGAACTCTGCTTTAGCTTTGGATAACTTGAGAATGTTGCTTTGATTGTTGTCAGCAAGGTAGACTTCTTCCAGTCTTCTCATCTTCACTTCCAGCTTTTTAGGTTCCTAATAAATATCCCTAAAGGCAGTTCTAGACCAAGAACTTAATGCACCGCATACTCTCTTAATTTTTTTATGCTAGTTGCAAAGAGGATTGATAGTGTCTCCTCCAAGCCAGGCATGTTAAATCACATCAAGGTAATCCTCATGCTCTGCCCAGAAATTCAGAAATTAGAAATACCTAACTTGCTCAGTAGTACAAGAACCACATGAAATCAAAAGAGAAGAGTGATCAGAACATGATCTAGACATGTGTGTGACTGGGGTCTCTCCAAATAGGTCAAACCATTCATCATTGTACACCAATCTGTCCAGTATTTTTCATAGAGTGTTTGGGGAATCTCTATTATCACTCCATATGAAATCAGATCTTACATAACCCTCATCTTGTAAATCATAGTCAGTAAGACTAGAACTGAACTCAAGACTCTCCTCAACTTTTAAAGCTATGTCCCTGGTTTCTCTCCAGCATTGGTAATAACATTAAAGTCACTCAGAACTCCCCGTGGACCATTAATGGTATTGGCAGTAGCTATAAGATCATCCCACAGAAGGTTCCTTAATTGTTCATCATATTTGGCATATACTATAGTCAAGAAGAAGAATATATGCCTCTGTGTATCTGTGATATGTACTAATACATGTTGTTCTCTATCTTCCATGATATCCAGCACATGCTCATTAGACCATAGAATCCAGATTTTGTTGGAGCAATTATGGAAACAAGACCGGTAGCCTAGTCTTCTTTTAAACCTTTCTATCTTTCTTGCTACAGCCATAGGCTCTTGCAGGAAGACAAAAGGAATTTTGTATTGTTTCTTTATAGTTTTGAGCCTTTCAGTAGCAACTTGTGACCCTATCCCCCTAATATTCCATGAGATTGTATTGATCATGAAAAACATTAGGTTAATGGTTTGTTTGTTCTCCTTGGATGTTGTTGTCTGATTCATTGAAGGAAGAAAAATTTATTCCTCTCCTGCTCGAATCTCGCAACCTCATTGGAGATAAATTATTGAGGAAAGTGATATTTTTTTAACCTAATTAATAGTATCCTTCTTGTCTTCGATTAGTAAGTCCTTTCTGGCACTCTTAATTAGTTCATCATCTGATTTGGAGCTAGGTTGTTCTTCTGTTAAGCCCTCCATGATAGTGTCATTATCCTGATCTTTGTAGGTTGTGTTCTCTCTTGTGGAGCTTGATAACTGTATGGGCTCATTACATATTTTGACAGACATATGAGCTTCTGTTCTTTCTATTTCTGCTCCCACATGCACCCTCTCTTTGGATTTTTTCCAGCATAACTATCATTCAATTTAGGATCCAGTCCATAGAGAGGTGCACTCCATTGACTAAAGCCATCGCCTATCTCATTATTTTGATTCATACTAACAGGTTCAAAATTAGAGAAATTTCAATAGGAATGAAGGCTTTAGAGTTGAATCTCTTCTTGTTGTTGCTCAATTTTTGCATCTCTTCATTTGTCACGTGAACTTGAGTCAAGTCCATGACTTGGCCCTCGTCATCTTTCTCCTCTAGATATATAGTTTTTTCTGCTTTATTTTTTCTTGGCCTCCCTTAACTTTTTGGATTTGGGGGTTCTTCTTGTTATTTGTGTTTCTTTCCCTGTTGAGTCTAGTGGGCTTCTGAGACAATTATGTAGAGCTGACAGTTACCTCAAATAAAGACTCAATGTTGTCTACAGTTACAACATCCATGGCTTCATTTCCCTTCATAGTAGTGTGTGTTACCACCACTGCTTTTTCCCTTCTTTGGCTTTGTAACCTTGTTGTACCCCCTCCTTATTTAGATTGTTGATTGGTATTGTTATTTCCTCCCATGCCGGCCTCTGTGTCCTTTGTTCTAAGATTCGCATTTCCTTTTCCCTTCTTACTCACTACTTTCCATCCTTCTTCATCAACAACTTGCTTCATGAGCTCATCAGGCACCACATGTTGGTTAGGCACTGAGTTTGACATTTTGATGGATGACACATTAGAATTTTCTCTACTCATCTGATGGGTCTTCATACCTTTTGTTGGTACCTTGATGATTGATTTCCTCTGTGGTTTTGTTGGAGTCAGCAATAATCTTGTGTTTCTTCTCCTTTCTCCCTACTCTTTTTTTCGATTCTGGATGCAGGATTCTACAAGAAATATCAGAATGACCTTGCATTTTGCAATGTGTGCAGAAGGCAGGGATGCTTTCATATCAATCTTTTGCACAATAATTTCTTTAATGCCTTCATCGTTGATAATCTCCAATAGTATCTCTTCAACAAGAGGTTTTGCCAAGTTAATCTCCACTCTAACTTTGGTTGTGGTGGGTCTAGTTTTGGACATAGTGGCTCTGTCCATAATTAAAGGGATTCTCACGGGTCCAATAATGCGGCATAAAGCATCCCATTCATAACAGTGCCAAGGAAGGTTAGGAAGAGTAATCTAGACAAGGGCGAATGAAGTCTCGGAATCAGGTTTGAATTTACATTGCCATTATGTTGTCCCTTCCAATAGACATGTAATTTCTCAAAATTACCTCAAAGTGATCCTCTTTGTTATTGAAGTCAATGAAGACATGATGTATATCATAAGCTCCAATCTTGATACTGCCTTTTCCAGGGATAATTTTAGCAAATTCACTACGTATGAGTTCTACAGAGGGTCTAATATGAGTGAACTTACCAATAATTGTCCATTTGCAGGTTTGAGCGAGTAAATCATTCTCCTCTTTAGTGAAGGTAACCACTGGTTTTCCTTCAATCAGACCATATGGTCTATATGGAAGAGTTATAGAGCCTCGTCTGTTGCTTTTTTCTGCATCCTCAAGACACCTTTATAGGAGGTTTAGGATGAGGATCCAGTACCGAAATTTCATGTTTGAGTGACAACTCCATTAATTTCAGTAGTAAGTTTGGAGCCTTGTAGGTTACTCCCTTATAAATTATTAGATTGGGGTAGTGGAAAATTCCCTTGTTGCGAGATTTTGGAATTGTTGGTGTAATTTGGTCGACTACACACATTTAAGGGCTTTAGGGCCGGGAAATTTTATTGATTAATTGACAATAAATAATTGCTCTGAGGCATAAACGGATGAACTGGCCATGATGGGTCAGAGGGACCGGAAGGACCAACGTTCAAAGCATGTGGATCTTGCCAGAAAATTGATCAAGAGAAAAGGAGATAGAAAGAGCCGATAAAGAGAAAGATTATTGTCGACATTATCAATGTGAAAAGAAAAAAATGTACAAATGCCTCATGTAAAAGAACCTTTACCACCCCCTCTACTTGCAACTTGTATAACCCTTTTCATAATAACATGGTTCAACTATTTCACCAGGTAACTCTTTTAAAATCTTCTTTCTAATACCCTTTTCATTCTCTTAAAACACTATACCAAAGGGGAGAAAAGGGTAAAGAGAAAAAAACAGATCATAATAGTGACTGCATTTCCGCTGTATTTATTTCATAATTCTCCTTTCCTTTGACTCGTAGATGGATACAATACTAATCAATAACATTGAATTTCTACAAACATAATCAAGTCTGAGCAAAAATATTTTGTAGCCCTTAATTGTAATATCCTGGCTGCAATTAGGAGGCAACCATGCTCTTCCAGAAGTCAAAAATACTGCACAACAATAACTGAAACCACTACAGAAGGAGTGAGCAACTTGAAAGAGAAACAGAGAGCTAATATCGTATAAGAAAACGAATATAAAAGAATGTCAGGATTCAGGAAAGATGCTTAAACATCAGATGAAACTGAACTGAATTTAATTCAATCAAAATCGATTATGAGAATTTGTAAACTCTGCTGTGATAAAGGTCTGCGTAACAAAACCACCCCTTCAACAAGGGAATAATTAATTGAGGGTTTAAAGTTCTAACCCGCTCTAAGTTTTGAATTATTCAAAAGGGACGGGGAAAAACGTAAAATATCTGCCCCAAAATGGTTCTTCGAATTTAAAGGATTTTCATCACCATATTCTAATTCTAAAAAAACAAGTAGTTAAGTCGGACTTAGGCACCACCAGAACCATATTTCTTTCCAAAAACAATGACCTGAAGCTTGTCATAACCTGCCAACACACCAGCACCCGCAACGGCACGGAGGATGTTAGCACCAGCACCCTTGAACAGAGATTTGGCACCCTCATTCTTAAGGATCTGGGAGAAGGCGTCGAATGAGCTCTTGTACTTCACAGCCTCACCAGATGTCATCATCATTCTTCTTCTAACAGTGTCAATAGGGTAGGATGCAAGACCAGCACCATTGGTAATAAGCCACCCAAGAGCAAAGCTAGCAAAGAAACTATCCTGTAAACATCAAGAGATTAACCAAGGTCAATAATAACTCATAACAAAACGAAGTCATAAACCCACCATAATATCTTAAACTCCAAATTACCAAAGTAACAGGCAACAAAATCTAAGTAATGTAAGCATCTAAATATAACTGTCAACATATGACATCATCAGAGAAAATACCGAAGGAACGCATCACTAACCTGCATGCTTCCAGTCAAGAGCACTGGCTTCAAGGAGTCATACATTCCGAAGTACAAACCACGGTACACAATGATACCAACACATGAAATGTTGAACCCACGGTACAATCCAGCAATTCCATCAGATGCAAGAGTCTTCTTGTAGACATCGACCAAACCATTAAACTGTCTCCCACCTCCCTTCTTTGCAGCCTTGGCATCATTTGCAAGACGAGTACGAGCATAGTCAAGGGAGTAAACAAAGAGCAAAGAAGAAGCACCAGCAGCACCACCAGATGCAAGGTTGCCTGCAAACCACTTCCAGTAGCCATCACGGTCCTTCTTGAAGTTGAAGAGCCTCTTGAAGTAGTCCTTAAATGCAAAGTTCAAGGCCTGTGGAACACAATATCAGTCAGTATTCCATATTACCAAAAATCAGCAGATTCAGTGCCCATGACATAAATTGCAGCGTCCAATGTAAGTAAATGGCATACCTGAGTAGGGAAGTAACGAATGACATTAGCAGTGTTTCCTCTCCACAAAGAACCAAATCCTTCATCNGAATGCAAAGTTCAAGGCCTGTGAAACACAATATCAGTCAGTATTCCGTATTACCAAAAATCAACAGATTCAGTGCCTGTGTCATAAATTGCAGCATCCAATGCAAGTAAATGGCATACCTGAGTAGGAAAGTAACGGATGACATTGGCAGTGTTTCCTCTCCACAAAGAACCAAATCCTTCCTCTTTAATTGTCCTCCCGAAACATTCTCCAATTCCCTTGTATGGTTCTGACAGTCTACCAGCCTTAATCATCTCATCTTGGTTTTGGATCAAAAGTTTCACACGCTCAATAGGGGCAGCAGCAGTCTTTGACACAGCAGCAGAAACACCACCCATAAGGAAGTCAGTGGCAAAAGCTGCAAGTCCTTTTTCTTGGGGAGCTTGCACAAACACTGGTGAAGCGTTTGCAGCAATCAACGAGAGATCCTGTGTGGCTTGGCAGGTTTGCAGTCCTGCATTAGAGTAATTGCCATATGCAAAACGCCTCTGATAGAGAGCAGGCCTTTGAATGCCCCCATAGCGAGCATGGACATCCTGGGAAAGACTGGAGCTCAGATGCATCTGGTTAGCTACCTTCTGAAAAACAGTTGGGTGCTGGTTATCCGCCATTGCTAAATAAACTCCTGCAAGGATGAAGCAATAGACTTAGGTCTTTCTCTTAATCTCAAAATTTCTTTTGATAAAGGTTCATAATAGATAACTTAAACCTCCATCTTAACCACTAGAGAAATGCAAGCCACTAACCAATCCCCCGGGTGATTTCAGCAAAAAGAAAATTCTCGTTACTCGCAATGGGAACTCAACAGAGCAGAATTCACTAATAATATAGTGTAGCAACATAGAAAATCAGTACACTATATTAACAGACCAAATTTCTTGCATTTCAGCATGTTCAAGATGGTACTTTTCCTTTGTACAGAAATTGTCAATGAATACCATTTTTCTCAATTCTCAACAGCAATCAGCCAAGTAAATCTATGATGCTTACGTTTAATTCTCCGACCATAGGAAAATAGTGATATAACACTAAACGATAACCTGTGCAATGGCTGGCACAGTGCATATAACAAATAATTTGAACACAAGAACATGAAGGTAACTTATCATTAGACTATTGTTCGGAAAAATCATTACTCCCTCCAAAAGTCCACCCCAACTTATATGTCACTCTCCATTTCGGGATGTCGAAAATATTTGACGCTTCCATTTTTATACAACTTTCGAGAATTCAAATTCTTAAGCTATTATGACACTAGCTTTTCAAATATTATCTTAATTTTTTCTTGTACTATAACACCTTAAACTATCCATCGGTTCAAATAACCTCAACAAAATAGGATGGAGAAAATAGTTTTTCTTCTATAGCAAAAGAACAAATGGTTAATTTACAACAGCAAAGGACACATGTTCTTTTAGCTCACGCCTCACAGTAGACAGCAACAGACCAAACCTATACGAAGGTCAGTAGTAAAGCTCATCCCGGATACAGACATAGAGTAATGAAGGCTGACCATGATACTAGAATGATAGAATCAAATCTACATACTTCTAAACTTGTGCTTACAATACAAGAAACAAATCACAAGTCTAACAACACAACTTGTGAAACACAAAATCAAATTATTTTGTCAATATAATCTTTATTTACTCTAGAAAGCAGCAAAACATCCGGATGATATATGTATACAGTTCAAAACAAAAAACACCAAAGTTAGTTCTCTTACTTTTCCAAATGCCCCTAGCTATAGCCTATAGTACATACTTCACTGACAAAATTCTAGATTCTTATACTAGACAACAAGAGTATAAATTATTTAAATTATATACATTGTCAGTGTAGAGATTATTTTACGCTATCAATGAATGTTAACATGTTATAGCACGTTAGTTACCATTTAACTAGATTACCAATTAATGTTTATCCAAACAATTACCTGTAATTACCTAATAAGTAACCTGATAATGTAAATACAGTTTACAGCATCGGTGCATAGAACGACTGTGTAAACAATTACACTATTAGGTCACTTATAAGGTAATAACATGCAAATCTCTTGATAAAGACTAATAATAATAATCTAGTAAAAATGATAACTAACCTGATATAACAAGTTAAAAAACATTGACAGTATAAAAGAATCTTTACACCATCAGCACATATAATTTAAATCCTTACATAGAACACAAAATCAGAACCACACTAGGCGTTGACCAGATCTACAGTTCAACGACAAACAAACACCAAAAGCTAATTCTCTTAATTTTAACGCATACAACTAGCTATTGTGCATGCTTCACTAACAGAATTCTAGATTCTCATACCACACAACATAACATTAAATTACATAGAACAAAAAAAAACAGAATCACATTACTTGTTGACCAGATCTATAATCCACATCTATAAGAACGTCTCCTATAACTACAAACATGCCAACAACACTTTAACACGCAAATCAGATCGATAAAATCGTAGATCCATAAACCTACGATCCATTTCCAACAAACACACATACAGATCCATTATAATCTCAAAATCTACACAAAACAGATAAATCAAAATAAAACGAACCTCGCAAAAAGTCAAACAAGTGAAAATCTCTATAATTTTACAGATCTAAACAGAACAAAGTGAAATGAATTTAGGACTAAGCAAAAAAAAGTGAAATTTACGGTCAAAATCTCCAATTTTTAGGCCATCGAAATACATGTTGTAGACAGAGAGTGAGATGTTTTAGAGAGCGAAAGTTATCGTTACCTGCGTTCAACCTCGCCTTGGAAGTCGAAAGAGGAAATGGAGATGGGAGGAGAACGAGGAGCTAGAGGGTTTGAAGGGAGTATAGAGAATGAGTATATATTGGGTGGCTATGACCTATACTGCAGATATTTTTCATTGATTTAGCATTTGTTTTTCCCCTGCTTCGCGGCTCATTACTTAGATGTTACACTCTATTTTATTAAGCATTTCATCTCATTTTATTTTATGTGAAAGCATTTTATTTTATTTTATTGCTAAGAAACGAAGCATTTATTTATTTATGAAAAGTATTACTCCATCTAGAAAGCCAAGTTAGTAATTTTATTACATTTTTAATACTCTTTTTAATTTTTTAAAATTATATTAACTATGTGAACATAGAGTGTTTTGACCGTCGTATCCAAATGAATATTTTCTTTGACCTTCAAATGAATTGGGACAACGAAAGTACTTCTTAAGGAATTGGACTGAGTCAGCTTATGCACAATAAAATTATTTTATTATAAGTATAGTTTAAAGTATATATGTTATGAAGTGATTTTACTCATTAAAATTGGACTCGAATGCTCACATTAAAGTTAAAAAAGAATATTTAAAAGCTAGTACATAAATTTCTTATTTACTTGAAATACTCTTCAAATAAAACTTCACTATTTTACCAATATTAAGTAACAATATTTGCAAATATTGTTGACAAAATCATAATTGACTTTTGTATATTCTACTAGTGATAGCGAAAGAAAATATCAAAATAGAAAAGGAAAATATAGTTTGACAAAGAAACATCATTTTGAAGTTAGTAATTAATATTAGTATATGTTCTACAAACCAAAAATTATTTTAAATTTTGAAATGTGAATTTTAAAATAGTTTTTTTGGTAGAATGAATCCTTATTATTAAAAAAAAAAGGTTGAAATGCGAATAGTATTTGAAATTAAATACGTGTTTGGTAAGAGGGAAAGGACATTTATTTTCGTGAGTCAAAAGGGCGGAAAGGAAGAAGCTTTTTCCATCATGTGGTTGCTAGAAATTATTGGGGACAAAGTGGTATGGAAATGTGGAATCCTTCTGTTTTTAATTGGAAGGCCAAAGTTGTCCAATCAATTAGTACTATTCAATTTAAGAGTTGGCTTTTAATATGGACTTTTAGGACGTTGGCCCTCGTTTTGCAGTTTTCACGCTTCTATGTTCTTTTTCTTTTAATCTTTTTTAATGTTTTCTTATTCTTTTATAAAAAAATTTATCACCCGTTTGAACTAATTTACTTTATCAATTAACTTCTGAATTGTTTTTAGAAAGCAATCTTTAGAAAGAATTAGACTTGAGTAAAAATTATTACTTGAACGGACAGTCCACATAAAGTGTATGGAAAATAAAATGAAATAAAGTTGGTTAAAATGATTTGACCATATCAGAAGTAGTCCTCCCAATGCATTGGTAAATAGGTGTAATGCTATTAAGACTAAAGGAGTCAAAGGTGTTAATTAGACTTTTCAACATTTTTTTGGTTTTTCACCGGTACTCAATACCTGCATTGGGCTCGACTAATTCAGATTAAGGTACATTAACGGAGAAACATTCTCTATCATAATTTTTTTTCTATTTTCAAAGGCTCGAACCCGTTGGGTTTTTAGCTTAAAATAGTGTGAATGGAAAATAGAGAAAAAAATAAATCTTTTGAATTTTCCTCCTTTACAAAGGAACATTATCTTATATTTGAGCATAAAAGCTCATTTGTTGGGTATATATATAAATGCACTTCTTTTACCTCTTACAGAGTTGACAAGAAGTCAAGTCTCGCGCAGTTGTCATAGTCGGTTTGATTAATTCTTTTAGAACAAATTTATTTGTTAAATATTAAGATTATATTAACATTTTTTGTCAAATAAATTGTTTCTCTAAGGGTAATTTAATTTTTCCTCCCCTTTTATTTTTTCGTTAAAATTTAGAATTGGGTTTCTATAAGTAGTCGTTTCATAAAATAGCCTCTTTGAGTAACAGCCTTAAAGGAAGAGTTGCAACTCTTCGGTTTGAGCCCAGCATGTTGGCTATAAATAGCATGTCATTCCCTCATATTTCTCTTACGAAAATTCTAAAATCTCTTATTTCTTTCTATATTATTTTCCTACAAAATAAAGTAAGTGTGATTAACTCTTGCAATTTGTGTTCGATGTATACTGGGTTTGAAGTACCGCTATACCTAAAACTCGGGTACTATAAGGGAATTAAGTTCCTTAAGAAAATACTGTGAATTCAGTGGGCTCAAGTATAATTCTGCTTCTTCTTCATTTCTGTTTTTCTTTGTTTTAGTTTCCATAATTTATTTTAAGAATACAGATTAATAACAAGATTAAGAAACTTAAATTTAATATTTTGTATTCGTGATTTGTACATTGTTCCGGAGACTAAAACATGTGTGATTTTCTACTCCCAATTTGGAGATTAAAATCTTTGTGGTTTTCTACTCCTATTCTTTGGAGACTAAAGCCTTCGTGGTTTTCTACTCTATTGTTCAATTTATTTACGCAATTTTTATCTCATCTTTAATCTTTTATTTGAAGATTAAAATCTACGTGATTTTCTACTCCATTGTGTTCGGTTTGAAGATATAAAAATTTTACCATATAAAATTTCTTTGTGCCATTTTTATAGAAATGATGACTGAGAACGGGAACCAGTCTGTTCCTATAGTGACTGCCAATAAATCGACAAGTCGAACAACACTTGCATCGGCATTGGCACCGGTAAAAAGCCCATTTTTTCAGGATTGATTTCAAGCGCTGAGAGCAAAAGATATTTTTCTATTTAACTACCCTAAGCCTAAAGAGGTTTATTACAGAAGATGTCCAGTTGTGCCAGATGGAGCTCCGAATAATGAACATTTCCTTTTGACTGAGGCTTGGAAGAATTCTTAATTTCTATGCAAGAATTATATTCTTAGTGGAATGGAGGACGATCTGTATAACGTCAATAGTAATATGGAGACGTCGAAAGAACAATGGACGATACTTGAAAAAAAAAATACAAAATCGAAGATGTCGGGTTAAAGAAGTTTATAGCCACAAAATTCTGGACTATAAAATGGTAGATAGAAAGTCTGTTATTATCCAAGTCCAAGAATTTTGAGTGATTATTCATGATCTCCTCGTTGAAGGTTTGGTCATCAATAAAGCATTCCAAGTTGCAGCATTGATTGAGAACTTTTCTCATTTGTAGAATGACTTCAAAAATTACTTGAAACATAAATACAAGGAGATATCGCTCGAAGATCTCATTGTTCGGTTGAGGATCGAAGAGGATAATAAAGCTGTTGAAAAGAAGGTTCGTGGAAACTCAACAATAATGGGAGCAAACGTTGATGAGAATGCTCCATAAAATAATAAAATAGAAAAAAGCCTTCTAGACTAAAGAGCAACCCGAGCAAGAAGAGCTTCAAAGAAAATTGCTACAACTGCGGGAAAGCTGGACACATGTCTGCATATTTTCATGCTCCAAAGGACAAGAACAAGGGTCAAGCAAACATGATTGAAAAGAATGAGGAAATTGATGATTTGTGTGCAATGCTTTCTGATTACAACTTAGTAGGAAATTTCAAGAAATGGTGGATTGATTATGGAGCTACTCGCCATGTTTGCGCTGTCAGAGAAGAGTCTGCTACATATGTTCCCGTCGAATCCGAAAAGACGCTTTTTATGGGAAATTCTGCAACGGCCAAGATTGAAGTATGTGGAAAGACATTTTTGAAAATGACTTATGGCAAGGTGGTAACTCTGAAAAATATCCTTCATATTCCTGAAACAAGGAAGAACTTAGTCTCTACTACACTTCTCGTCAAGAATGGGTTTAACTGTCATTTCTGTATATGATAAAGTTGTAATAAGTAAAGACGAGATATTTTTAGGAAAACGGTATCTTACTGAGGGCCTTTTCAAATTAAATATAATGGGCATTGAAAATAATAAAATTTCAGTTTCTTCTTACTTACTTGAGTTAAATAATTTATCGCATATGCATTTGGACCATATCAGCCGTAAAACCTTGTGCAAAATGATTAATTTGAAAGTATTGCCTAAATTTGAATATGACAAATTAAAATATCAAATATGTGTGGAATCCAAGTATACTAAATATCCTTATAAGTGAGTTGAAAGGAATTCAAATCCTTTAGACTTAATTCACACAAATATATGTGAAATAAAGTCAATATCATCTCGCAGTGAAAAGAAGTATTTTCTAACTTTTATTGACGACTGTACTCGCTATTGCTATGTTTACTTACTTAGTAGTAAATATAAAATAATAAATGCATGTAGGCAATACAAAAAAAATTGAAATGTAACTTAACAAGAAAGTCAAAATAATAAGAAGTGACAGGGGTGCTAAATACGAATTTCCTCCTAAAGAAATATGTTTAGAATATGGTATTATTCATCAAACAACGACCTTTTACATGCCTTAATCCAATAAGATTGTCAAAAGAAAGAATTGATCATTAAAGAACATGATGAATGCTTTATTGATAAGTTCTGGTTTACCACAGAACTTGTGAGGAGAAGGGTGAGGGGGAAGCCAGTCTTACGGCTAACCGAATATTTAACCGAGTGCCCCATAGCAAAATACAATCTATTCCATATAAAAAAAATAGAAAAGAAGGAAGCTCAACTTGAATTATTTCAAAGTCTGGGGGTATTTGGCAAAAATGCAAGTTCCTATACCCAAAAGGATAAAGATAGGACCGAAAACTGTTGATTATGTTTTCATAGGATATGCAATCAACAATAAAGCATATTGATTTCTAGTTCATAAATAAAAAAATTCTGAAATTCATAATAATACGAAGATAGAATCAGATAATGTTAAATATTTTGAAAATATATATCCATATAAAAAATAATGTGAGCCGATTGGTGAAGGATTCAAATAACTTCGAGAAGGAATAAAAGAAAGTATATCTAATGAGGGGGATTTAAGACGTAGTAAACGACAAAGAATATTTACTTTGTTTGGACCAGATTTTGTGATTTTATTATTGGATAATGAGTATCTTCGGAATCATCATTTTGGAAAAAGACAATCAATAGTGAAATAGAATCCATATTAAACAACCAAACATGGGAGTTGGTTGATCTTTCTCCCGGGAACAAATTGTTAGGCTCCAAAT